CATGAAGTACTTTGTGAATAGTTTTCAGAAGGTTCCATGAAGATGTGAGGTACAGAGAAGTTCTGGATTAGTTTATTATAGGAGTGCCTAAAGTTCACTGTATTTTATATAACTTACCATATTTAGATTTATATTACATTAATTACCAACCTAAACCTATTTTACACAGATCAATCGGGGTTGCTTTTTCTGGTTTGCAACTAAACACCTCTGTTCGAGGAGAACTGTTAATCATTGAGAATAATGTAGAAATTGAGCTCTTTTAGATTAAAAATTAAATTTATAAGACAAAAATCGGCTTAATTACACTAATTTTAATAAAGCTATCTTGACTTAAGTTGTTGAAATCAAGCACTAAAAACGTGCACAATGAATGTAATTCAATTATTAGTGTAAAGTCTGTTCTGTAAATAAATTATTTCTTTCACATTTGCATACCCTTTAATTTTATTTTTTTTTTTTTTTTTCCTGGAATGTTAATTTTCAGTCTACGAGTGAGTTTTGTTATTTCTTACAAGTCCAACACAATATTACAGGTATCAAGAAGTTAGTGGCACAAATTGTGGAAAGTATGTGATGTTGGCTTTTCTTCTTTGTATTTCTTTATCTCTGTGGCTATAGGATTGTTTGTGCTGTTTGTGTAATGAGCTTTTATTTTCTGTTTTGTTTGTATTATTTAAGTGTACGTTACATTTCATGATGTAGAGATAGGTTAACTCTATTTTCTTGCCATTAGGCTGAGGTTTTTATGGCTTGATATGCCTTTCCCAAAATTACAGGCATGTTTTTCATGGGCAAATACAAATCATCAGCTATTCTTCTTACAAAAACTTTGTAAACTCCCCAACGGGCCAAGGACTGCAGCAATTTAGTCTAGCTGCACTAGTCTAGTTGTTCAGCTTGCGACCGCAACACAAGTACTGGCACAGTGTGTTTTTGTCGCGGTGAGTCGCATTACATAAATAATGGTATCGTAGTAGCAGTAGTTGTAGTACATTAGGTTAGTAGTGCTAGTTAAATATGTATAGTGGTGTGGTATGTAAACATTTATATGCAATATAGCTACTTTTTTACTTCTTTTACCCCACTGCTACTAGTCCTAATAAGTAGCAGATAGTAGTAATAGTTAGTAGGGGTTGTATTTTAAACAGTATAATAGCAATATCATAATAGCATACTGCAAACATTGTTGTTTCTGTCTCTACCACGACTCTAAATGCCTAGTACCAGATTACTACTAACCACTATACTTGCTACCCATATAACCCAACAAAACCCAAGTCATTGCAGACGATCTCGTA